CATGGCAAAAAGCCCTCCAAAACCCGAAAGGCCCCCTAAACCCTAAACCCTAAACCCTACACCCTAAACATCGACCCAGTCAAGCTGGTCAGGATCGGCGGATACAGTCCTTGGAACTGGCGGCTGAAGCCCAGGCCTTTGGCAATAGCACGCATGGGTTGAGTGAGGCAATATTTGGGATGAGAGCATTTGGGGCCTATCTTGGTTGGGAGCTTCATATTGATGAGAGCATTTTAGGCGCTATTTTTGGTTAGCTTCATGTGGACTATCATCTTGAATTGCATTATCTTCTGTTTCAGGAGAACCGGGGGCTAAGAGTTTGAGAGCTTCGAGCCACATGCCTCCACAGACAGACATGGCCAGGGATCCTCCTACCGCAAGTCCGGGGGTCGGCTCAACGAACGTCGACACTCCACGCCGTCCTTGGGCGCCCCTGCAGAGTTAGGGTTTAGGGTTTAGGGTTTAGGGTTTAGGGTTTAGGGTTTAGGGTTTAGGGTTTAGGGTTTAGGGTTGGAGATCCTGGGCAAACAAAATTCAGGGACGCTCCTTGAATTCTGTGTGTCTCTGATCCTAAACCCTAAGCCCTAAAGTAATGTACTGGCTTTTATAACCACCAATCCTTTTTTATGATCACCAAATCCTTGCCGGGCTTGTGCGAGATGTGAGCGATTAGGCCCTACATCAACTCGCCAGTGAAAGTTTCCAAGCCTGGCCTCCGAAGTACCTGCCATCCTAGAAATCCCACCTGGGTTTAGGGTTTAGGGTTTAGGGTTTAGGGTTTAGGGTATGAGCACACACACACTTCCTTCCTTGAAAGGACAGGCCCCCCTTCCCTGAAAAGACAGAGACCCCTCAGCTGGGGGGGGGGGGGCCCGAAATCTCAACCTGCGCTTCGCCTTCTTGCTTGCCCGAAGAAAGACCTGGAGATGTTGAAGCCCTAAACCCTACACCCACACACACACAAAAAAACACAGAAACAAAGAAACAAACAAACAAACAGACAGACAGACAGACAAACAAACAAACAAACCAACACAAGCACACACGGAGACACAGAGACGCAGACACAGACACCCGAAGAAGCCCCCGGGCCCCCTATAAGACGCTTCCCAGGTGTTCAGAAGCGCCCAGAGGCTGGACTCGGCAGAAGTTGCTTTAAGGTTGCCTAGTGTGGTAGAGTAGGTACCCTTTAGCCTTTTTGGGGTAGTAAGGTTGCCTAGTGTGGTAGAGTAGGTAACCTTTTAGCCTTTTTGGGGTAGTAGTATGCCCTTAGAATCCCAAAGGTTAAGCTTTAATTCCCCCCAGGTCGCTGGGCAACTAGGGTTGATAGGGTTAAGAGTTTGGGGCGTTCAGGGTACTGATGTACTAGGGTTTAGGGAAAAAAACCTAAACCCTAAACCCTAAAGCTCCTTATCTAGGAGACTCTCCCGGAGCCGCGACTGTGTGTCGATGTGACGAAGCCGAGTAGCCCTCCACAAACACATGGAGTTTTCCGAGATTAGGGGAACCTTATTGGGGTCTTTTTAGAAGGGAATACTTCTCTTTGGGGGTTCTGTGTCTATATTAGGGGCTCTCTTATCTTCGTATTACTCTCACATGGAGTGGAACTTCCCTTTTCTGGCGCTTGTTTCTCAGCCGCCAGGCCCCCACAACCCGCCGGCAGGCTCACAGACAGCTCATGAGTCTCCCGGCAGAGACATGGGGGTGCACGAACATCAGGGACCCCCAATATAGATAAAGACCCCAAACAGTAGGATTCACGTTTAATATGGACCCGAATAAGGTACCCGTAAAATTTCGTAAGCCCCCAAATTGCCCTAAACCCTAAACTCTAAACCCTAAACCCCCCACATGGGTTGGGGTGGAGCTGGGGAGCGGCCTGTAGAGGGGCAAGGAAGATGGGTCGAAAGGCACAACCGGACCTCGTGGACACATGTCTACAGATCAGCTTTGAAGGACCCCAAACCCTAAACCCTAAACCCCAAACCCCAAACCCCAAACCCCAAACCCCAAACCCCAAACCCCAAACCCCTAACCCCTAACCCCTAACCCCTAAACCCCTAAACCCCTAAACCCCTAAACTCCTAAACCCCTAAACCCCTCAACCCTAAACCCTAAAACCCCTAAACCCTAAACCCTAACTGGAACGACGCAGCTGACGCTTCCCGTGGCGTCAGTTGTCCCGAACTAAACTTGGCTAGACGAAGCCCTACTCAGCTGCAGCTCTCGTCAGCGCCGGGTTTAGGGTTTAGGGTTTCGGGTTTAGGGTTTAGTGGCAGTAGTCGCAGAAATAGTCATGGTCGGATAGCAGTAGTCACAAACTAGCACAGCAGGAAGAGTGATCCTAGTACGAATGCTGAGTAAACAATAGCAGTACCATGATCACAATCCGCCTGTGCTTGGATTTTGAGGGTACTGATACCCCAAGCATAACTGTACTTCTAAGTCCCTTAAGTCACCGAAGTCCTCTAAGTAAGTTATAAGTAGACTCATAATTGGG